GAAGTTAAACACATTCAAACAAAGCTTTTTAAATCGAAATTAATTTAAATGTATTCAAACAAAAATTTTTGAATTGAATGAAAGTCAAATGCATTGATACAAAGCTTTTTGAAAAGAATGAAAGTCAAATGTAATAAACGAAGCTAATTGAATCAAATGAAAGTCAAACACATTCAAACAAAGGTTTTTTAATAAAATTAAAGTTTAACACATTCAAACAAAGCTTTTTGAATTAAATGAAAGTCAAACACATTCAGTTAAAGATTTTTGAATCGAATGAAATAGAAACACATTCAAAAACGTTAATTGAATCAAATGAAAGTCAAACACATTCAAACAAAGATTTTTGAATTAAATGAAAGTTAAACACATTCAAAGAAAGCTTATTAAATCAAAAGAAAGTCAAACACATTCAAACAAAGCTTTTTAAATAAAATGAAAGTCAAACACATTCAAACAAAGCTTTTTTAATCAAATAAAAGTCAAACACATTCATACAAAGCTTTTTAAATCAAATAAAAGTCAAACACATTCAAACAAAGCTTTTTGAATCAAATTAAAGTAAAAAACATTCAAACAAAGCTTTTTGACTCGAATGAAAGTCGAATGCATTCAACGACGATATAATTGAATAAAATGAAAGTAAAAAACATTCAAACTAAGCTTTTTGAATCGAATGAAAGTCAAACACATTAAAACAAAGGTTTTTTTATCGAAAAAAGGCAAATTCATTCAACGAATCTAATTAAAAAAAATGAATGTCAAACACATTAAACAAAGATTTTTGAATCAAATTAAAGTCAAATACATTCAAACAAACATTTTTAAATCAAATGAAAGTCAAACACTTTCAAACCAAGATTTTTGAATCGAATAGATGTCAAATACATTAAACAAAGGTAATTGAATCAATTAAAAGTCAAACGCATTCAAACAAAGCTTTTTGAATAAAACAAAAGTTAAACACATTCAAATAAAGATTTTTTAATTGAAAGAAAGTCAAATACATTCAACGAAGCTAATTGAATCAAATGAAAGTCAAACACATTCAAACAATGCTTTTAAAATCAAATGAAAGCCAAACACATACAAACAAAGATTTTTTAATCAAATGAAAGATAAACACATTCAAATAAAGCTTATTGAATCGTATGAAAGTCAAACACATTAAAACAAAGCTTTTGAATCCAATGAATGTTAAACACATTAAAACAAAGCTTTTTGAATCGAAAGAAAGTCAATTGCATTCAATGACGATAGTTGAATCAAATGAAAGTCAAACACAATCAAACAAAGCTTTTTAAATTAAATGAAACTCAAACACATTTAAACAAAGCTTTGTGATTCAAATGTAAGTTAAACACATTTAAACAAATCTTTTTGAATCGAATGTAAGTTAAATGCATTCAAAAAAGCTAATTGAATCAAATGAAAGTCAAACACATTAAAAAAAACAAATCTTTTTAAAACAAAGGAAAATCAAACACATTCAAACAAAGCTTTTTGAATCAAATGCATTAAACGAAGCTAATTGAATAGAATGAAGTCAAATACATTCAATAAAGCTTTTTTAATCATATGAAAGTTAAACACATTCAAACAAATCTTTTTGAATTAAATAAATGTAAAATGCATTAAACGAAGCTAATTATATCAAATGAAATTCAAACACATTCAAACAAAGCTTTTTGAAATCGAATCAAAGTCAAATGCATTCAACAAAGCTATTTAAAGTAAATGAAAGTCAAATACATTCAAACATAGCTTTTTAAACCAAATGAAAGTTTAACACATTAAAACAAAGCTTTTTGAATCGAATGAAAGTCAAATGTATTCAACAAAGCTAATTAAATCAAATAATTTCGAACACAATCAAAAAAAGCTTTTTGAATCAAATAAAATTCAAACACATTAAACTAAAGCTTTTTGAATCAAATGAATGTTAAACTCATACAAACAAAGATTTTTGAATCGAATGAAAGTCAAATGCATTCAACGAAGCTAATTGAATCAAATGAAAGTCAAACACATTCAAACAAAGATTTTTAAATCTAATGAAAGTCAAAAACATTCAAACTAAGCTTTTGGAATTGAATTAAAGTCAAATGCATTCAACGGAGCTAATTAAATAAAATGAAAGTCAAACACCTATTGTAGACACCCAAATGTGTCTCCTCAAATATAAACCAGTGATGAATACCTTTCATGTCATTGATTATCAAACAAAGAGAAAGTGTGAAAAGTCTAGTGATGAGGTCGTTTTTATTAAAATATCTCTTCTTTTTGTTTTTGAAAATATTTCTTTTTTTCCCTATTTATGAAAAACGTGCATTCCAGTTTAGTTTGGTCCATGATAAGGGTCCAATAATAATTTAGTTGGATTGGGCTTGAAAAATACCTTTCCAACGATATATTATAAGCCGAATTCCGATGAATAATGAGGAAGGTATGGCCAAAATACTAAACTAGGCTAAAATTGGATTTTACCTACGGCCCAATGATCATGTGGAGGGTCCAAAGGTCTAATCCTATTCCTAAACTAATTAGGATTAATTAGAAGCTTCTATAAGTTTCTAAAAGATCTTAATTTTCCTTTTTGAAAAGATAAGATTAAAGAATTTGAGTTAAATAAAAACTTTTCTTTTATAAAAACTTTCCTCTTTTAAATTCTAATTCTATTCGAATTTAAAGATATTTAAAGAGAGTCAGATATTATTTTTGTGCCTCATAATATTTATCCAAATCATATATGGTTGGATAGATCTTTAAATCATCTTTCCAATGATATATTTTAATATTAAATCCGAACTATAACGAAAAAGATTTGAATGGGATATGAAACTCTATCTAAAACTGACACCGTTCCACTATTTCAGCCATAACTTTTTATATATAGAAGATTTTAATCTGATTTTAATGGTGTTGGAAACTACACTTCTAGAGATTTCCAACGACAAATTATATGACTTATTTGGAATTTTGGATCAAAAGATATGATAAAAACAAAATCCGCAAAAATTGTTGTCCATCAAGTTTTATTTCAATTCGAATTCAGATTCTTTTCTTATTCTTCGACCCACTTTTTTTCTCTATAAATAGAGGTCATATCTCCCCTTTTTCAAATCATCAACTTTCATCAAGAATTTCTTAATTCTCTCTGACTCTTTCTAGCCTAGCCTTTTACAAACATAATTCCTCATACATTAGCACTAGACACACCTAGCCAACTTCGAAATTGCCTTCGCTCTAGACGTGAAAGGTTTGATATTTCTGAAGGTTTGGTCCAAAACCTCTACTTCAATTATTTAATTTAATTCTTTGATTTTATATTTTCGTTGAAGTTATTAACGTGTGTATTTTGTTATTAGAAAGAGATACGAGGCATCTAAGAAAGTGCTTTAATTGATTTATTTATGTTATGATATAAAAATCATGTTTAGGTTGTTATTTTGATTCCTAGTGTCATGTTAGTATGCTTTCCTTAGTATGATATTTAGGGTGATTTGCTTATAGCAATTATGATTTCTATGATGCTTTCTATTTTCTTTCTTAATATCATGTTAGTATCATGTTAGGACTAAAGCTTTGAAATACAAGTCAACCAAAGCTTTATGAATCAAATTAATGTCAAATATACAAAAATATCGAATTGGGGTGTTTTACTTTCGTTGACTTTCTCTCTTCTCTCTCTTCTCCATGGTTCTTCATCTTTGATCGGTTTTATTGATCAATTTTGGATTTCGATGGCTAAGAAGAAGAAGTAGAATACTTCTACACCTCTAGTAGTACAGCAGAAGAATACTCATGAAGATTTTAACACGATTTTGCAGAATTTGAGGAATTCAGGCACTTTGTTTGTTCCTAGTCCGATTCAAGAGGTGGATGCACTGGTTACTCCGGCGCCGGCATTGGTGCATCCATCATGTGGAGCTATTCTTAGAAGCGATGCTGAGATCATTGCTCTATTTGCTGAAGCAACTGCTAGGCCAGATTAGAGGATTTCTAATGGAACAGTACCTAGGGTTTCTAGGTTTACTTTTCCATTGGTTGCTGGAGGATCTGAGCAGCGATCTGAGCCGATAGTTCCTTCTTACCATCCTACACCTTCCATGGAGCAGAATGCGCATAAACATGGTGAGGATCGGCTGTTCCTTTCTCTGGAAATTTGGCTGCCAAAGGAGCTTCTCTGTCCTTTGTTGCTCCGAAAGTTTAGGATGGGAAGCAAGTTGCAGAATTACAGGAATCCGAGCTTGAAGCAGGTAATAAAAAGTGTTCTAATGCTTTAGTTTTCTATGTGGTTGGCTTTTACCCTACTATTGCTGTTGCTCTTCGTTTTTTTGCCCAACAATGGAGTGATATGCAGAAACCAGATGTTTATTGGCATGATGATGGGTACTTTATCATTAATCTGTGTTCTAGTGATGATAAAGATACTATACTCTGTTCTGGTCCTCATATGTTCCTTAAAAAGCCAGCAATAGTTAAGCCTTGGTGTCCTAAATTTGATTTTAATGCTGAAATTCTGAGAAATGTTCCTCTCTTGGTTTAGTTTCCTAATCTCCCACTTAATTGTTGGAGATCTGACACTCTTAGCCGTATTGGCAGTTTGCTTGGAGTGCCAATTTGTGCTGATGAGTGTACTACTAGACAACTTAGAGTGTCTTTTGCTAGGGTCGTAATTGAAATTGATGTTACAAAACCTATGCCTAACTCTATCTTGGTTGAGAGTCCTTCAAAGGAGCTATTGGAGCTCAAGGTAGTGTATGTGTGGGCTCCACCTTTCTGTTCTAAATGCAACAAGGTTGGTCATGATTGCTCTATTAAACCTGCTCCTGCTAAGCCTAAGCAGGTTCATAAGCAGCCAGCTCTTGTTGCTCCTAAGCAAAAGCATGCCTGGGTTCTTAAGCCTAGCCAAGCTCCTGCTCCTGTTGTTCATGTTGATGCTTCTATTCATGGACAATCTGTCATTACTCCACAGGTTCATACTTCTTAAAATTCAGATGAAGTTTGGCTCTTCTTGGCTTTGGATGTGCAATTATGATCATTCTCCCAAAGGAAGGATTTGGCTTGGTTGGAATGCAGATAGAGTAAATGTTAATGTCTTGAAGATTCATGAACAGTTCATTCATTGTACTGTATCTTCTAAGGATCTCTCTACTCAAATTCATCTCACTATTGTCAATGGGCTTCACTCCATTCATGATAGGCTTCCTATGTGGGAAGGAATTAGGAGCATCTCTATTCAGCATTCTTCTTGGCTTTGTGCTGGTGACGTTAACTCTATTCTTCATACTTTAGATAGGCTTCATGGTACTGATGTTACTGATTATGAGACTAGAGATTTCTAGAGTTTGGTTGATGATTTGGACCTCACTGAGGTCAAGAGCAAAGGAGCCTTCTACTCTTGGTCAAATAAGGCTCACACTAGTCCTAAAACTCTTTCTAGGATTGATAGAGTCTTTGGTAACCAAGCTTGGCTGGCCTCTCATGGGCATGTTGAGACTGTCTATCTCCCCCCCTCTTTATCTGATCACAGTCCGGTTCTGTTAGATGTTTGTTCTGCCCCTGCTTGGAGAGGTAGACCTTTCAGGTTTCTAAACTGTATTGCTGATCATCCTGATTTCCTTGATACTGTTTCTCAGGCTTGGGGTTTTGGTAGTTCTGTTTGGCAGAAGCTTAATTCTGTGAAGTCTAGTATCAAGTCTCTTAATAGCAAGCAGTTTGGCAACATTGAGGAGAAGATTGATCAAGCTAATGTTGAGCTTGCTGGAATTCAGAACTTAATGGCTCAGAATCCTGATGATTTGGATTTATATGCTAAGGAATCTGATGCTATTAAGGTTGTCAAACACTGGAATGATATTCAGGAAAGCATCTTCAAACAAAAATCTAAGATCAACTAGATTAAGCTTGGAGATGGAAATTCTCATTATTTTTTCTCTGTGATGAAGAATAGACAAGCAAGGAATAGAATTGACTCCATCTTTTACTCTAACCAGGTTTTGCTTAAGGATCCGGATGCTATTTCTCATGAAATTATCTCCTTCTATAAGTCTCTTTTAGGGACTCAGGCTCCTTGGCTTCCTGCTGTTGACCTTGTTACTATTAGGAGGGGTAAACAGCTTAGCTCTGTTGCTCAGAGTTATCTTATTCAGCTTGTTTCTCATGCTGAACTTAATGCTGCCCTTAAGGGAATTGATAACACTAAAGCTCCTAGTATTGATGGCTTTAACTCCTTTTTCTTTAAGAGAACTTGGCATATTGTGAGAGATGATATTTATGCTTGTTTTATTGATTTCTTCACTAAAGGGACCATGCCTAAGCAATGGAATTGCACAACTATCACTCTTGTTCCTAAAATCCCTAGTGCTTCCCATGTTAAGGATTTTTGACCTATAGCTTGTTGCACTGTGGTTTATAAGCTCATTTCTAAGGTCATAACTACTAGACTTGCTGCTATCATTGGTGAGGTGATTGATGATGTTCAGACAGAGTTGAGAGAGCTTCTTGGTGTTTCTCAAGGTACTATTCCTTTTAGGTATCTTGGGGTCCTTTCCTTTCCAAGAAGCTTCCTATTGCTCAGTGTAGGCCTTTGGTGGAGAAGGTAACTGCTAGAATCCAAGGGTGTATGGCTAAACACTTGTCCTATGCTGGGAGGCTTCAGTTGGTGAAGAGTGTGATGTTTGGTATTCAAACATTTTGGGCTCAAATTTTTATCTTGCTAAAGAAAATTCTGAAAGAGATCGAGGCTAGATTCAGGTGCTTTCTTTGGACTGGATCCTCTGCCCCTGCTAAGAAATCTTTGGTTGCTTGGAATTATGTTTGTCTCCCTAAAGTCTGTGGTGGCTGGAACTTGCTTTCTCTTCCTGAGTGGAATAAAGCAGCTGTCACTAAGTTACTTTGGGATATTGCTCACAAGCCTGATAATATTTGGGTTAAATGGGTCCATATCTATTATTTCAAGCATAAAGATCGTTGCACCACTCCTACCCCTGCTAAATGCTATTAGTTCTTGAAGAAGATTCTGAGTTGTAGAGATGTTGTGAATGATCAAGGGGGATGAGATGGTTTCATAAAGGGCAAAAAGATGAAAATCAAGAAGCTTAATGCTGCTATTAGGACTCAAGTCCCTAAGGTTCCTTGGAAGAGAGTCATTTGTCATAACTTAGCAACTCCTAAAAGTTTTTTTTATCTTGTGGCTAGCTTTGTGGAATAGGCTTGTCACTAAGGATAGGTTGCTTCAATGGCACATTTCTTGTGATCCAAGGTGTTTCTTGTGCTTGAATAGCAATGAAAGTGTTCAACACTTATTCTTTGATTGTGAGTACTCTAGAAAGGTTTGGAACAAGGTGTTGGGTATCTTACATGTTTCCAAGCCTGTTCAGCAGTTTAGTGATGAGATTGAATGGTTAAAGAAAATCTGAAGAAGTTCCAGATTGAAAAACAAAGTGATCCATGCAGCCTTCACTGAAACAATATATGGTATTTGGATTCAGAGGAATGCATTTTTGTTTACTGGTTGTTGCAAACCTGTTGATGTTCTAGTTAGGGATATTGTCTTTCATTCTGCCTGTAGAATCCCAGCGGGAAGCAAATACTTGATTGTTTAGTTGTTTTTCAGGGAGCTGCTTCTACTATTCTGGTTGTCTGATGCTGTTGCTGATTCCTAACTACTGATTTCTGGTTTCTGGTTTTTGGATTGTTGCTGTTGCTGTTTTTGTTTTTGTTGCTTTTGCTGGTTTCTGTACTGCTGCTGGTCTCTCCTGTTGTTACTGTTCTCTTGTTGTTGCTGAAATCATCTGCTGTTACTGATTTCTGTTGTTGTTGCTGACTGCCCTGCTGTGCTGTCTGCTCTGTTGCTCTTCTGGTCAGCAGCTGGTATTAGTGAGTACTGTGTTGCTGTTGCTGATTTCAGCTGTTGTTGCTGATTTCTGTTGCTGGTTGACTGCTCTACTGTGTTGTTGCTGCTCTGTTGTTGTTCTGGTCAGCAGCTGCTGTTGCTGGTTCTGGGGTTGCTGAACTTGTTGCTGTCTTTGTTGCTGTTGCTGTAATTTACTGATGTTGCTGGTTTCATATGTTGTTGATGGCTACTGTTCTGCTGGTTTCAGTTGCTTCAAGTCAGCTTTGCTATTGCTGAAATATGCTTCTATTCTGTTGTTTGTTGATGTTGCTATTTCTGGCTGTTGTTCTGTTTTTGGTGCAGTTGTTGGTCTGGCTTGTTGGTTTTGTTTGATGTTGTTTTTGCAGTTGTTGTTTGCTGGGTGGCTGCTGTAGTTTGGTTTGGGTGGCTGCTGCTGCTATTTTTGTTTTGCCTTCTACTGGTTTTCTTAGGCAGCTTTTGGCTTTTTGTTTTGCTTTTCTGGTGCTTTGTTTGGTTGCTTTCCCTGAGGTGATGTATTACCTTCTTTTGTCTAGTCCTGTTGCTTTTGATACTGAGTCTAGGTGGAGGTTTGCTTTTTACAGTTTGCAGGGGTGGTGTTTCTTGTTGTTGCTCTGTGCTTGTCTTTGTTTTCCCGGGCCTTGTTTCTAGAACCCTTCCTAGAAGGTGGCTGGAAGCTTGTGCTCAGGGTGTTCTTGTCTCTTTCTCCTGAACCATTTCTAGAAGGTGGCAGGAGATTAAGCTTGAACTGTTTGGTGGTTGGTTGGCCTGTTTTTCAGGTCTTGTGGGGTTTGGTGTTTGTTATAACTTGTCCTTCTGGTAATAAATTTCTCATATTTTCCAAAAAAAAAAGTCAAATACATTTAAACAAAGCCTTTTAAATCAAATGAAAGTCAAATACATTCAAACAAGGCTTATTAAATCAAATGAAAGTCAAACCATTCAAACAAAGCTTTTTAAATAGAATGTAAGTCAAATGCATTTAAAGAAGCTAATTGAATCAAATGAAAGTCACACTATTTTAAACAACACTTTTGAATCAAATAAAGTCAAACACATTCAAACAAAGCTTTCTTAATCAAATGAAATTCAAACAAAGCTTTTTGAATCAAATAAAAGTCAGACACATTAAAACAATGCTTTTTAATCAAATGAAAGTCAAATACATTCAAACAAAGCTAATTAAATCAAATGAAAGCCAAACACATTCAAACAAAGCTTTTTAAATCGAATGAAAGTCAAATGCATCCAACTAAGCTAATTCAATCTAATTAAAGTCAAACACATCAAAACAAATCTTTTTGAATCAACTGAAAGTAAAACACATTGAAACAAAGCTTTTTGAATCGAATGAAGGTCAAATGCATTCAACGAAGCTAATTGAATCAAATGAAAGACAAACACATTCAAACAAAGCTTTTTAAATCAAATGAAAGTCAAACACATTCAAACAAATCTTTTTGAATCAAAAGAAAGTTAAACCCATTCAAACAAAGCTTTTCAAATTGAATGAAAGTCAAATACAATAAATGAATCTAATAGAATCAGATGAAAGTCAAACACATTGAAACAAAGTTTATAGAATCAAATGAAACTTAAACACATTCAAACAAAGCTTTTTGAATCATATGAAATTCAAACACATTAATACAAAGATTTTTAATCAAATGAAAGTCAAACACATTTAAACAAACTTTTTTAATCAAATGAAAGTTAGACATATACAGACAAAGATGTTTTAATCGAATGAAAGTCAAATGCATTCAACGAAGCTAATTGAATCAAATAATAGTCAAACACATTCAAACAAATCTTTTTGAATCAAATGAAAGTCAAACAAATACAAACTAAGCTTTTTTAATCGAATAAAAGTCTAATGCATTCAACGAATCTAATTAATTCAAATAAAAGTCAAACACATACAAACAGAAATTTTCGAATTAATTGAAAGTCAAACACATCCAAACAAAGTTTTTCGAATCAAATGAAAGTCAAATGAAATCAATGTAGCTAATTGAATCAAATGAAAATTTAACACATTCAAACAAAGCTTTTTGAATGATATGAAAGTCAAACACATTCTAACCAAGCTTTTTTAATTAAATGAAAGTAAAACACATTTAAACAAAGCTTTTTTAATCAAATGAAAGTTAAACACATTAAAGATAAGGTTTTTGAATCGAATGAAAGTTAAATGCGTTCAACAAAACTAATGAAATCAAACAAAAGTCAAACTCATTCAAACAAAGATATTAAAAACTAAAGAAAGTCAAACAAATTTTAACAAAGCTTTTTAAATCGAATAAAAGTCGAATGCATCCCATGAAGCTAATTGGACCAAATAAAAGTCACACACATTCAAACAAAGCTTTTTGAATCAAATGAAAGTCAAAGACATTCAATCAAGGCTTATTGAATCAAATGAAATTTAAACCATTCAAACAATGCTTTTTCAATCGAATAAAGGTCAAATGCATTTAAAGAAGCTAATTGAATCAAATGAATGTCAAACACATATAAAAAATGGTTTTTTCAATCAAATGAAAGTCAAACTCATTCAAACAAAGCTTTTTGAATCAAATGAAAGTAAAACCCAATTAAATAAAGCTTTTTGAATCAAATAAAAGTGAAACACATTCAAATAAAGCTTTTTTAATGAAATGAAATTCAATCACATTCAAATAAAGCTTATTCAAGCAAATGAAAGTCAAACACATTCAAACAAAGCTTTTTAAATCGAATGAAAGTCAATTGCATTCAACAATGCTAATTGAATTAAATGAAAGTCGAACACACTCAAACTGATAAGCTTTATGAATAAAATAAAAGTCAAACACATTCAAACAAAGATTTTGAATCATATGAAAGTCGAATACATAAAAACAAAGGTTTTTGAATGAAATGAAAGTCAAACACATTCAAACAAAGCTTATCAAATCGAATGATGGTCAAATACATTCAACGATGCTAATTGAATGAAATGAAAATCAAACACATTCAAACAAAGCTTTTTGAATTAAATGAAAGTCAAACATATTCAAACAAAGCTTTTTGAACTAAATGAAAGTCAACCACATTCAAATAAATATTTTTTAATCGAATGAATATCAAACACATTCAAACAAAACTTTTTTAATCATATGAAAGTCAAACACTTTCAAACGAAGCTTTTTGAATCGAATGAAAGTCAAATGCATTTAAACAAAGTTTTTAAATCGAAGGAAAGTGAAATGCATTTAAGGAATCTTATTGAATCAAATGAAAGTCAAATACATATAAACAAAGGTTTTTTCATCAAATGAAAGTCAAACACGTTCAAAAATAGGTTTTTGAATCGAATGAAAGTGAAACACAATCAAACAAATGTTTTTTAATCAAATAAAAATAAAACACATTTAAGCAAAGCTTTTTTAATCATATGAAAGTCAAACACATTCAAACAAAGCTTTTAGAATCGAAAGAAAGTCAAATGCATTTAAACAAAGTTTTTGAAACGAAGGAAAGTGAAATAAATTTAACGAATCTAATTGAATCAAATGAAAGTCAAACACATACAAACAAAGGATTTTTAATCAAATGGAAGTCAAGCACATTCAAACATAGGATTTTGAATCTAATGAAAATCGAACACATTCAAACAACGCTAATTAAATGAAATGAAGGTCAAACACATTGAAACTAAGCTTTTTGAATCAATTGAATATCAAACACATTGAAACAAAGCTTTTTAAATTAGATGAAATTTAAACACAGAATTTAGAATCAATTTAAAGTTAAACTCATTCAAACAAAGCTTTTTGAATCAAATAAAAGTCAAATGCATTCAACGAATATAAGAGTCAAGCACATTAAAAGAAAACATTTTGAAACAAATGAGTGTCAATCACATTCAAACAAAGTTTTTTTATTCAAATAAAAGTCAAAATCATTCAAAGAAAGCTTTCTGATCGATTAAAAGTCAAATGCATTCAACGAATTTAATTGAATCAATGAAAGTCAAACACAATCAAACAAAATTTTTTGAATCAAATGAAAGTCAAACACATTCAAATAAAGCTTTTTGAATAAAATGAAAGTCAAATGCATTCAACAAAGTTAGTTGAATCAAATGAAAGTCAAACACATGATAA